TATACTGCAGTTGGATTCATGAGCTAAGAGAAATTCTTTTTTCTAATCAAACCTACCTTAATTCTCTCTCTTTAGTTTGGGAAGTAAAAATACAAAGTATCTTGTAGATAGAACTGAATGAATTAATGATAAAATTTTGCAGACCCATCATTTTATTCCAGTTGCTAATAAAGCCATATCTTTATTAGAAATTGGCTACTTACTGATATCTCAGTAGTACATATGATGTAACACCATGAATTCAGAGGAAGAGTCCTTCATAAATCTAAAAAATAAACAAAAATCTCATGAATGTGGTATTTTCCCATGTTTTTATTTATACTACTAGAGGGCAGGCATACACATGCAAGAGAAAGAGAACAAGAAAGAAAATGTACCCCCCCACCCCCGGAGCACGGCCACACCACAAGCCTTTTTCCTTCCTATCAAGATTTGGGGCTTGCACACGGACGTACCTATTTGTGCCTTTCAAGCTACTAGGGCCCCTCAGTAGGCCATGTGGGATCTGGCTCCCAACGCACGCTGGTTACCCATGACACCTTGTTTTTAATTACAGTGCCTAATCTTACATCTGGTTTTTAAAAACAGAAACCTGTCATAATTTTAGGGAGCTTATGCTTACATAAAATAGAGATAAAATTTTAAGACATAAAAGTATATTATATACCTAATTGGTTACAATCAGAGGCTGAAATATGAAATTTAAGAAATAAGATGCTTGGGGCCAGCAAGAAGCATGGTGATTAAGGTGCTGGACTCTCACATGGCCGACTGCGGTTCCAGTCCTATACCGGACAGCTTTTCTCATTTTCCCTTTCTGTCTCTGTTCAAATTAAAATAATAATAATAATAAAGAAGATTCTTTAAAATTGATATTAGCTTATGCTATTAAGAATCATAGAAGAGGTGACATCTAAGATTATTATTATCTAAGACAGCAGAACTGAGTAGATACCAAGAGAGAAGATTTTCACAGAATAACCTGAACAAATGCACAAAACAAAAACTTAAAAGAGAACTCCTGGCACACTTTCATAAGTCAAAAATGGGAAAAAATTCTTAATGAATAGGAAAGGGCCAGATAACGAGCTGCCTTGGAAACTTGGACCCAGTAGTACGATAGGCACCATCTCCTGCGTAGGAATATGGAGGGAAACAGGTAACTTTGTATTATAGAAAAATCAGCTGGTATGTGAGATCAGTTAGATTAAAAGCTATAGAAAGCAAGAAGCTAAAAAGGGAAAGTATTTAGCAGATTACTTTCTCTTCTATACTTTGCTGGTTCGATTCTGAGACCAAATTTCTTTACCCTCAAGTGGACTTTCTAACTCTTAATTCATTAGTCATCCTCTAAGGCTTGAAACTCTCAATGTTTGATTCCCCCATTTACTTCTTGACAATCTGTGACCAATTCCTGATCACTTTTCCCTCGGAATGTCTTGCATGTATGTCATTCCCTTGTCATTTCTACTGCCACCACCTTAATGCAGGGCATCCATACCTTACATTTGGTTTCTCTATTTCTCTTGCTTCCAGCCTTTTCTATTCTTTTCAATCTAAACACTGCTGCCAGGGACCAGCAAGTGGTATGGTGGTTAAGTTGCTGGATTCCCACATGGCTGATCAAGGGTCAAGTCCTAGACCTGGTAGCTTGCTTTCTCATTTTCTCTGTGTCTCTGGTATAGCAAATTAAATAACAATTAAATAATTCTAAAAAGTAATAGACATTGCTGCCAGGTTAATCCTTAGAAATGTTCCTACCCATCTCTGAAGTCTTTTTACTACTTGAGGAAAAACAAAGAATGTGTTATCTGGCAATGGAGAGCACCAACGAGCTGCCCTAACTCACTGCTCACTGCTCTCTCGAATTCCACCTCCGTACTAGTTTCCCCTTACTAGCCTCTAGTACACTGCATGCTACAAATGTAATTTTAAATGTTTTCACACCCACAATGAAAAGTAAAAAGAAAGTGGTGAAATTAATTTGAGTATATTTTATTTAACCCAACAGGTTCAAAACACTATCATTTCAACATGCAATCATTGGGGCCGGCAGATGGTATGTAGCTAAAGGTGATGGACTCCCACATGGCCTATCATGGTTCAAGTCCTGGACCTGGCAGCTTGGTTTCTCACTTTCTCTCACTCTATCACTCTGCCCCTCTCTAGTCAAATTAAAATAAATAAATTTAAATAAAATAGTTCTTAAAAATGCAATCATTGTTGAAAATGAATGAGAGGGTCAGACTGTTGTTTAACAGCAAAATGCAACACTCTGTCAGGCTGACCCACAGGGGAAGGTTTCAAGTTTGCACTGAGACCTGCCTGTTACATCTGGTACATGAGTGCCTATGATCTGGGCTGGATGAAGCTGGGGGTAGATCACAGCATGCGGACCTATTTGGGTACCTATCTTTCAGTCTGTCTCTCTCATGGAATAAACTTTTTCTAAAAATGAGCTATTTTGGGGTGGGCAGGTGGCGCCATAGTTAAGGTGCTGGACTCCTACATGGCTGACTACAGTTTGAGTACCGGGCCTGGAAGCTTGGTTTCTTACCCTCTAAAATCATAAATAAAATTGAATGAACTTTTTTTTTTTTTTAAATGAGCTATTTTGGGGCCAGCAGGTGGTGTGGTGGTTAAGGGTGCTGGACTCCCACATGGTCAGCTATAGTTCAAGTCCCCGACCTGGCAGCTTGCTTTCTCACTTTCTCTCTCTCTCTTGCTCTGTCCATCTCTGGTCAAATTAAAATAAATGAATAAAATTAAATAATTATTTTTTTTAAAAAGGAGCTATTTTACAACCTGTTTTCCATAGCAAGTCCTCAAGATCCAGAGTGTGTGTTTACAGCACATCTGAAGTCAAACTAACCACATTTCAAGTGCTTGACAGCTACGTATGACTAGTGGTTACTTTAATAGCACAGGTCTAGACTCTAAAATCAATGTTTTCGACTACAGGGAATTGTGTTCTGCCACTTCTGAAGTGCAGGCTAGCACTGTTCTATTTTCATGTATACATCTAGGACTGGATTTTAATGAAATCAGCAACCATTTAGTCTCCCAGATTAAAAATTTAAGCTACTCTCTTACCATTAAATTGGCAGCTATCAGGTGAATCCAGGCAGACAATTACTTAACGTCTAGCATCCTCTACTGTCCTACCTCACTGGAGGCACTCATTGCCTTACCTGAAGGATTGCAATTTCCGCTCATCTAGTTTTCCTGTTCCCAGCTGATCCTGCTGTGAAAGACCATCCTAAAAACAAGTATCCTCATGCCAATCCTTGCATGAAATTCCCACTGGCTTCTTGCTAACTACAGGATAAATTCTAAACACCTTGGTTGAAAACCAAGATCCTTCACAGGCTGGCTGCCTCAACCCATCCCCACTTGCTTCACTTCATCCTTAACCACGGTTATTCTCCCTCTTACTCCCTCGGTATACCAAACTTGCCCCGTCTCCATACGGTTTGCATGCAAGAACAGCCTTTGAGTTTAGCAAATTCCTTTAGATACCTCATAATCCTGCAAATTATTCACTTTTATAAAAGCTTTTCCTGTCCCCAAAGGTAGTTATTTTTACCTAGCACCACGGGGAGAGGAAGAATACTTGTTGAGTATATATTAGTTGTATAAAGGAGAAGTGATCATTTCTCTATCTCCCATACAAAGCACAGTGCTCAAAGCAACAGAAATAAATGTACTGAAAGCAGGAAT